TATAATCTCTCTCCTAAGGTATCTCATTTAAACTAATAGGAAAGTATCATGTTGCCCCACTCCCTGATCAATTCCTAAAATGCATCAACTACTCTCTCTCATTTAAAATATTCATATGATTTAATAAATAGTTAAATACGATTAATATTTAATCCCACCCATATTCAATGAGTATTAAATAGTGTTATTACCAAAAGTTAATAAATACAGTTAGTAAATTACCAAAAATTAAATATTTTTATTAGTAGGTTAGTAAATTACCAAAAATTAATAAAGAAAAATGACAATGGGAAATAGAAAACTATAATTTGAACAAATAATTACATAAATTATTAAGATAAATTAGTATAATATTGGAAAAAGAAAATTATTGGTTAGTTTATATTAGAAATTATAAGTTAAATTAACATACTTCTGTAAATAAACCATTTAAAAAGAAAATAAATTATTTAATAAAAATTTAAATAAATTTGAATTGATTTTCAAAATTACACAAGTACAATAAATTTTTCAAATTTTCATAAAAGTACATTTTTGAATATTAAAGACAATTTAGTGTACTTTTAGAAATTTACCATGTGGTTGATACTCAATATATCATTTTGATCATTTCTATCATCAAATTGAATATTGGGTTGATGGGGACAGTATTTTCAAAACTGGATTAAACCAGATGGTTAGACTGGAAAAATTTGGAACCGGACACCGTTTCACCTCAAAACCGCTCTTTTTTTCCAAAACCATGTATTTGGTTAGCGAACCGCTGACCTGGGCGATCGAACCGTCAACTCGAACAATAGTTTTTGGCCTTTTTTTGTTTTTCTATTTTTTTTTTGTTAGAGCGGGTCATTCGTTTGGACCGAATAATCAAACCTATCCGATCCAATTTTAAAAACCTTGGATGGGGAGTGGGTGCCTTGCCTTGAGCTTGGCTTGGTGTGCAGCATGGCCTGGCCCAAGGCCTAGCCCATGGACTAGCTCGACCCACGGCATGGCACCAGCCCGTGCAGGCTCGAGCCGTGGGCCGTGCCGAACCGACCCCCCAAATTATCCTAGAGGAGAGAGGCATGGCCCGGGATGCCTCGTGGACCAGTACGTCACAACTCACACTTTGTGCAGGTCACGTGCGGTCGTGTCGCGCCAACCCAGCACGACCCAATTTACACCTTTACTTGAACTCGCCCAATATTGGGGACTGGGTAGGAAAATTCGAGGATTCTCCATCCTTGATGAGGAGTAGGGGTGCCTTGCTCCTGAACTCGCCCAACATTGAGGAGTGGTTACCTTGCCCTAAACCCGCATGACACTAGGGACGGGGCGAGGATGGGGTAAAGTGTCTTGACTATGGGGCAGGGAAAGGGATGGGGTGCCTTGCCCTGAACCCACCTCGTTGTCATTCCTATATAATTGTTAATTATTAGTGGGATTAATAAAAATTTTAGCTTTTATAATTATTTTTATTTATTTTAAATTAATCAAAATTTCATTTAAAATTAATAAAAAGAATAAAAATTATTAAAATTATAAAAAATTGTTAATAAAACTAAATTTTTTAAAAATATTTATTCATATTCAATTAACAATAATTATTTTTTATAAATCAACATTAAATAAAAAATAAAATTATTAAATCTTTTAGATTTTCCTATGCATCGCACTGGGTAGTGTATGTATATATACACACACCCCATTTGGGTCCCTATGAAAGTAAAGGCGAACTCCTAATAATAAATTGAAAAACTTCTTATTATTATCTCACGTGGAATTCAAGCAAAACATTAGATAAAAATACTTTGGGTAAAGGAAAAAAATTATAAGTACTTTGAGAGGTGGACGGTTGGTACATTAACTGGGTAGTCCTGGTGGATTCGAATCCCGCTATTCCCACTTATCTCCAAGTGTTATTAAAATGTTGTGTTAAATACCAAAAATATATATATATATAGAAAACATGTGTACATAAAACATATAAATGTGGACAAGGTTTTTAAAACCGACCCGGAAAATGAACCGTCAGGGTCCAATTCCTAGGTTGAACTGTTTGACGGTTTGGACTGAACGACCGGCCTGTTTCGACAAAAAAAAATAAAAACAGTCAAAACCGTTGAACAGTTCGAACACCCGGGTCAGTAGTTTGCTGACCAAATCAACATTTTTTTTTTTGCAAATATCTGGTTTTGGGGAAAAACGGAACCGATCACCTGACTAGTTCCTGGTTTTTCCGGTCCGACCGTCCAATCCGGTCTGATTTTAAAAACCATGAATGTGGATATAAAAGACAAAAACAGTTGAAATAATAAAAATAGCCTTACTAAACTTTTGAATGACGGTTAATGTTAACTAATCAAAATACCACATCCTTATATTCCAATGAATTTTGATTTAGGTTGTGTTCGTTTTTCTGGATTTTGAGAGGGAAAAATTGATTAATGTGATTTTGGTTCCTATTGACCAAGAAATTCATTCTTTTTATCTTAGATTTATGTGAGAATCAGGAAAAATTTATTTATTTTTGAATAAATTCATTTACCTAAAGTAAATAAATTACCGAAAGCTTAATAGAATTGTTTTTTTAGGCCAATAACCTTAAATGGAATTCTGCTTTTCCTTTTCTATTGCCCGTGTACATATATATATATATATATACCAAAGGCCGAACTACGCTAAATTTCTGTATGCTCTTAATTTGCTATGTTTTTTCAACCATTTCTCTCCGTTTTTTCTATTTGCCAATCGTTTTAGATTTTGAGTTTGTCGTTACATAAACTTATGCCATAAAAGGATTATTTGGGACCAACCACGTATACGTAAATATTGAATTAAATATCTATTAAAAACCACGTAGATAATTAAATATCCATTTCCTTCACATACAAACCCAAAAATCAATTATCACCATCTCTGATGGACCCATTCTGTTTCAAACCCAGTTAAAACTTACAATATAAATATATATATATATATATATATATATTGCATGTCACATGATCCCCCACCAATTCTCTTCTTTCACAACTCTTAACGCATTGCAATCACTTGTCAATTAATTTGTCATCCAGGCGAAGGATGGATTATTGCTTTGTTTGTATATTTATTGAATAATTATAGCCGCAAGGGTTCACGATATATTGGAGGTATGTACAAGGAAATTCTGTCTGAATTTGGAAAACGACAAGCGGGTAAAATGGTAATTTAAAATACAGGGGTAATTTTGTAATTATAGAGCGGAATTTCATAGATGCTTACGAAGAAGGGGAAGAGGAAAGCTCGTGAAGGCAAGAAGAGGAAATGAAAGCTCTGCAGCCTCTGCTTTTCATAAAAGCAGAAAGAAAGATAGAGGGATGCTTCGCGGCCGTGTGCCGTGTGCCGTGTGCCGTGTGGGTCAATTTTCTATGTTGATTCAGACTAAGACTTTCCTTTTTCTTCTTTCTTTTTCACTCTCTAATCTAATAGTTTCGTTTTTTTTTTCCACATCTTTTATCTTTACATTTCTTTCACTTTAATCAGACCACAAAAATGCCCCTGGATTTCTATAAAACTGGGATAACAATTGACAAATCAAACGCCCATGGTTTTCACTTTTCGGTGTCTCTGTCCCGTTACCGTTTTCACCATTGTTTCTGCAACGCCCCCGCCGATCACCAGTCACCAGTCTCCACACGCTGAATTCAAAACGAAAGACAATAATAATTTATCATATCCACACTGTGTAGCGATAAGAATCTGACCAACAAACTTGTTAATAAGTCTCAAGTAAGCAACGAGTTTGATGGTAACTCCCTATCTAAATGAACTGTTAAACCTACAAGTTTAAGTTATTAGATGTGATTTCTAAATAGGTTTTTATTCTTTAACATATTCTTCATATGAACGCTCAATAACATGAACAAATATACATCTATTCATACCTTGGTGTTGAAATTTGATTAATTATAAATAATGGGCAACAATGATCAAACAGGCTTGCTTTGGTACCATTTCAAGGAACTGTTTCACCTAGAAACTTAAATTGTTAGGTGAGATCCTGGTTTTTATTCTCCAACACTGTCAAAAGAATGTAAACCCATAGCAGCTTAGGTGGATCTATTGTCCTCTTTCTTTCTCTCTGCCTCTCATTTGCTAGATCAAATATGGAGAGGTCACTAATTATAAGAATGTGATCGTAACTGAGCTGGAAATAATCTGTGTGAGGAATTGTATCAGTTGGACAAAGCAAGCATTCAATTCTACTAAAGCTGGGGAAGAAACTCTCCAACTACCATGTGCCATGGGTGGGTAGGTGATTCAAATGAGCCCCAACCAACCCACATATACAATACAGCCTTAGTTATAAGCTCAATTAAGCCCGGATTCAATGCTCTGTGGATGTAGTAAATGGATCTGAATCCAGTAGTTTATAAGCTGTATGTACAGAAGGGCGTGCCTTCTACACATAGTTCCTGTAAAACTGACCTCAAATATAAAATGAAAGAATTTCTTTTCTTTTTCTTCTTTCGGATGGAAGAATCTAAGCCCTTGGATTAGCCAATAACGATCTCATACACATTCATCATGATGTCAACTCCCCACGACCCCCCACCCACAATTCCACAAAGCTAATGACTTCAATCCTAGTCCTACATGTAAAGAAGACAAGGGCTGTAGTTAGCTGTGGTTGAGGGTGGACGGAGAGGCCATCAATTCTATTTATATTTGCTTTAAATAAAGAACAAAACCCCATGTTCTTCACAGAAGGAAAATCAGGATAGTTTTAAAGTAACTTGTTTATTTATTTATTTATTTATTTTGCAGAGTAGTTAGTTTGGGTGTTTCCTTGGGTTGAGAGAGGTCTAAAATTTGACCACACGTTGTTGAAGAAAGGGTCTTTTTGGTAATTACAAAAAAGGCAGGTGATATTAGAATCTTCTACTAAATGTCAGGGACAGAAATGTAGTTTTGGATAAAATATAGGGGCACTCGTTAATCATGGCTTGTTAAAGCTGTTATAAAACTACTGCTGCAGTTACTCTGTCTTCTTGGAAGCCTTGGAACTCTAAACTCTTTTCTTTAGAGATCTTGGTGAAGGTGAAGCTACTAAATACACCATAAGGCAAAACCTGAGGATCCTCAAACAGGTATGTCCAACTACCAAATGATTTGATACTGAAACCCATATAATTGCTTGAAGGAAGTTTCAATTTTGTTTTTCTGCTTTTTTCCTTCCTTGATGAAGTTTGATTTTGTTTGAGCTGAAAATACAGGGTTTCTGTGGTAGTTTTGGTTCTTAAGTTGTTTTGGTAGGAGTCTGAAGGCTTAAGTTTCTGATTTCTTAGAGAAATCATGACTTGTAGAAATAGGTTGGCTGGGATTGTTTGAAAGGTGGAGTTTTGCTTCGGAAGCGAAATTCCAGCTGATTTTTTATTTTTTTTTTCTTTCTTCCTCTTTCTTTTTGAATTTTCTTCCTTGCGACATCTTTCACCAGAGTTTGGTGGTCAGGCTGATGACTCCAGCTGTAGTCTTCAGCTTTCGTAAAAGTAGAACTCTTAACGTTTTTGTTTATTTATATTTTTATTTAGTTCTTGAATTTTCAGAAGTCCGAGGTTCAATTCTGGGGATTTTCAGAGCTTTATCTTTTTTTTTTTTGTTAAATGGGCATTTTTTGTTTGTCCAGGTACTTGTTGATTTCAAATTGGAAGCCTTTTATATTCTACTCTTCCGGAATTGCTGTGTTCCCAGTCCTGAAGTGGTTTTAATTAACAAATGAATTTTATCTGTTTATGTTGAAACTTGAAAGTGATCTCTTCTTGTGCATATATCGTGCTAGGGGAGGGGATGTTTTAATCTTTCACAGAAGAATTGGCTTCTTGTCATTTCTGAGTCATGGTGCTTGAGGAGATTCTCCTTCCAGAATGACCTTGATTTTCTTTTCTTCTTTTTTGGGTTTCTTTGGAATTTATAGTGCTCTCTGGGTTGTTGTCCCTTCTAACTTGTATAATTTTTCCGTATGAAAACGAAGAGTATGGACACTGCCTAGGCCTTTGCTGTAAATTACTCTGTTTTTTTATTGGTATAAATCACCAGTTTTGTTCACTAAATCACTTTCAAGAAAGTGTTGTCTCATAAGCAATGATGACAGATTACGAGCATTTTGGAAATATCTTGTTCATATTTGAACTAGAGCTAACAAGATTCTACTATTTCGTTCAGAAAGAAGTGAATCATGGTGACAGTTTGGGTTAATTTTTTAGCATCCTGTTGAGTGTTTACAGTGAGTCTTTCTTTCACCCCTAATTGAGAGACTCACTTCAGGGAAGAAAGCTGTTAAACTCTACCTGCCTTGTACTTGTCATACATGCAGGTGCTTTAGAATTATTTGGTGGGCCCCGACCTCAAAGGTTCTTCAATCTCATAGAAGGACTTAATGAGATGATTGTTTGATAATTAAAATGAACATGCCGGACTGCATGGCTAGGATCAGTTGATGAGGTCAGTAGTTTTTTGCTTGAGAGAGATCTTGCCACTCCCAGTATCACCAAGTGACCCAGCCAACCCAAGACAGTGTTCCTCTGATTTGTCCCCTCTAGATATTGAACTACAAAGGAAACTGAGCTCTGCTCTTGTGTCGAGAATGTAGGAGAATGGAAATGATAATGAGAACTCCAAATCTTGTAGTTATCAAGTATGGTTGCAGTGTCAAATATAGTCTATTTAATGAATGTCTTATAATACTGAATTCCTACTTATTGTCAGTAAACCTACTGCTAATATTATCATACTCTAACTTTGCATTTATCTTCATTCTCTCATGTTCTGACCATTTTCAATATCAAAGTTGGTCTGATCTTGTTTATCTTTCCTGCAGATTACACTGAGCCATTAATCTTTCATTTCGAGAAGCAGAAATGATCTGGGAGTAGGAGATTCGCTGTTGAGTTGTTGGACTCAGTTTAATTGCGGTCCAGTGTTGTTAGTAAGCTCATTTGGCTTTTCATGAAGGAAAACCTTTTGCTCCTTATGTGACATGCATGAGTACTGAATTCAACCAATAGTACGTGACATTTTAACAAATGAGTTCTCAGTTAAGGGCTGAGAACGTTTCTTCCCAAAAAAATTACCAATATTATTCTGGATTTCCGGTGGCTGGGATGAGTCAATTAGTAGGCTACTCTTCAATGCAAGCCTCTCAGAAATATGGGAATTCAAATGGGTCCCATAGATCGTATTATCAGCCTGTGCAAGAGGTTGAATCCTATTGTTTGTCTCAGGGCTTCCAAAATTTGGACCAGCAATGCTCCAAAGATAGCAACCAAGAGAGCAACTTCCACGTTCAAACTTCTCATGAAGAGTACTGCACCCTGGACTCATCCTCGGCAACTGGCAGTTACACAGTCTACAGTTCCCCATCCAGCCTTAGTTTCTCTCCTAATGGGAGTCCCATATCACAGCAAGATTCTCTCTCCTACCCATCAGATCCACATCATTCCCCTGATTATGCCTATGGATCTCCAATAAGTAGTTCTTGCATAACAGATGAGGTCAATGATCTAAGACACAAGCTGAGAGAACTTGAAACTGCAATGTTGGGGCCAGATTCATATGTTGTGGACAGCTTCCATGAAACCTTTGATGGTGGAGCTGACCAAACCTCATTGGAGACAGATAAATTGAGTCAAGTGTTGGAGATGATCTCCAGAGGAGATTTGAAACAGTTGCTTATTGCTTGTGCACAAACTGTAGCAGATAACAATCTAACAACAGCAGATTGGTTGATGACTGAGTTAAGGCAACTGGTGTCGGTCTCAGGGGAACCAATCCAGCGTTTGGGTGCCTACATGTTGGAAGGTCTCGTTGCAAGGCTGGCATCTTCCGGAAGTTCAATCTACAAAGCACTAAGGTGCAAAGAACCTGCGAGTGCTGAGCTCCTATCATACATGCACATCCTCTATGAGGTCTGCCCATACTTCAAGTTTGGATACATGTCTGCCAATGGTGCCATTGCAGAAGCTTTGAAGGGTGAAAACAAAGTCCACATCATTGACTTTCAGATTGCACAAGGCAGTCAGTGGATCCCTCTCATCCAGGCTCTTGCAGCCGCCCACCCTGGTGGGCCCCCACACATCCGCATCACGGGTATTGATGATGCCACCTCAGCTTATGCCCGAGGAGGAGGACTCGATATCGTAGGGCAGAGGCTATCAAGGCTTGCTGAGTCATGCCATGTGCCCTTCGAGTTTCATGCAGCAGCCATGTCTGGTTGTGAGGTTGAGCTTGAAGATCTCTGTATCCGACCTGGGGAGGCACTTGCAGTGAACTTTGCATTCATGCTGCACCATATGCCAGATGAAAGTGTGAGCACTCAGAACCACAGGGACCGGCTACTGAGATTGGTTAAGAGCTTGTCACCAAAGGTGGTGACCCTTGTAGAGCAAGAGTCGAACACCAACACTGCACCTTTTGTCCCACGATTTATCGAGACACTGAACTATTATACAGCCATGTTTGAGTCAATTGATTTGGCACTACCGAGAGACGACAAGGAAAGGATTAATGTGGAGCAGCACTGCCTAGCACGGGATGTGGTCAACATCATAGCATGTGAGGGTGCTGAAAGAGTTGAACGGCATGAGCTTTTTGGCAAGTGGAGGTCACGATTCACAATGGCTGGGTTCACTTCATACCCATTGAGCTCCTCGGTAAATGCCGCCATCAAAACTCTATTGGAGAAGTACTCTCCTAACTACAGACTCGAGGAGAGAGATGGTGCTCTATATCTCGGCTGGATGAACAGATCTTTAGTCACCACTTGCGCTTGGAAGTAAATATTTAGCATTTCATAGGCTCCTCTCCCGTGTCCCGTCCTTTTGTAGCACACTGAGATTAAAAAAAAACACATGTAATCTTTTTACAGCTAGCTGAAAGCCTGAACTGAAAGTGTTGTTGACTTGTTATTAGTTTCCAACTTAGGTATGGTAACACTCAACTCTGTTATTGGTTGCCATGAAAATTTATTTGTACTGATGCAAAGCATTGTAGTGCAAATGATTTCAATGCAAATTATGATGTATTTTTATTTTAAAATTTAAGATTGTAGTACAAATAAAGTAAAATAAGACCTGAAATAAAATATGGTAAAACCCAAAACAAAATTAACCCAGAATTTACATTATTTTCATTTGCACACCCTAGCATTTTTAACCAAACACGGCATAGCAATTATATCTATATGTTCAGCTTTTAAAATAAGCTCATTTGTTAATCATCTGTAAACGGAGATTAAGTTTGTTGAATGGAACTCACCTTGAAGGTCCGTTCACCCCCTGAATCGGTCAAAATTCCGATACACCCTCTGTAGGAGCATATTAGGAAGCTCCCAATATGATATGTATCGACCTATAGGATACGTATTGGTACTTTGAACCTTGGTCCCGTATAGTTACTCAGGTCTTATGAGTGCAAATTCTTTTATCAAGTCAGAAGTCTGATAAACACGCACCAAGAGCTAAAGACTACTGCCAGATATAATATGATTTCAAACTTTCTGGGCAAGAATGGTTCGATTTCTGTTGGACTCTGAATCAAAATTTTTGAAGCAAAAGCAAGGTAAAAAGAAATGGTTTGAAACATTTAGGTGGTGTTTGGCATGGCTTCCATTTATTTGATAAATGGTGCTATGTCATCATCAAATTAGCATTTATCCCATCATGCCACTCATATGCATAGATATTGATAAAAGTTTATCTTGATTTATGTGTGTGTCAACACTTGGAGGAAGCTCCATTTTAACACTTCTCCAAATAGTTAAGCATTTATTCATTGTTCTTCTAATGCAGTGCCTACTTGTCAATAAATAGTTTATCAAGTACATTTCTCAGTTTTGAAAACAAATCAAGTACTAGCATTTATTTAATAAACTAAAGCTTTACCAAATACATAGTTAATTTAAGTAGAACTTGGTTTTCATCTGTTGTCCCCTACATACATTTCATACCATTACATCAAAGCAGAGCCCTCACTATCTCGTCCCCTAGTGGCTTGGTTTCTCTTAATTCATGTAAGCTCCTATGGTTTTTAGAGTTCATTTATTTTAATGATTTGTGAAAACATGCTACGTCTTGTATAGCCCCTCTTGGATTCATTAAAAAAAACAAAAACCCAAACCCTCAGACTACAGTGTCACCCCTTGAAACACATCGCTAGCCTCCAACTCGGAATTAGGGTGAAATAAACTTTTACCAAAATTTAAAAATTAACTCATCCTTTAGTACCAAACCAAATCTAATTTAGCCTTCCAACTCGTTAAAAAACCCAACAGAGGCTTTCAATGCATTGGTGTGGGTCACATTCTTTTATATTACTAATTACAAATCAAACCTATGTTTCCTAAATCAAATATAAAACCCAACTTAAATTTAACATGTACATAGTGGGTCCCAAACAGTATAATTGGCCCATATTCAGTACAGGGTGGACAAGTCGGCTTCCCCTTCAATAGAATGGCAAACCCTTCACTCAAAAAAAAGGAATAAATAAATTTTAATTCAAAATAACATGTTAAAGTGGTTTTGAACCTGCTTTAGCTCTAAAACTATGTTCTTTCGCTTAAGCTGTGTTTGGAAACGATGCAAATGGAGTGTAAATCCCAGTTCAGGATAAATTTGTACTCTGGTTCACTTTTGCCTGTATTTGACAACATTACATTTATGCCTTGACAAATGACAGACCAATGCATATTTACATTGATAATAAGATGTAAAAGTACATCAATAAAAAGGAAGTAAATTTGCATTCAACTAGGCTTTGATAAAAAAAGCATATGCTTTATTGGAATTCGTGTTTGCATCCATTACAGCTAAAAATCTGTTTGGTAAGAAGGTAAATTTGTCAGTGCAAAACTAACCCAACTTTGCAATTTATATGAACCGATTTACACTACATATTTGCATTCACACTTATTTGCATCGCTTCCAAATGCAGCCTTAATAACAATTCAAAGGCCCAGCACAAAGGCATTCAAGATGTTAAATTTGTCTAGGTCCCATCATTCTTGATGAAGTGCATTGTTTGTTACAAATCAAACCTAATTTAGTCCCCTAAATAAAAAAAAAAAAAAAACTCAGCCTAAATACATCAACACTTTAATAGTAGGTAATACATCAACACTTCAATAGTAGGTCTCAAGTTACCCGAGTATGGTCATTAACTAGTTTCTCAAAAGAAAGGTAGGCATGGAAAACTCAACCTCACCAACTTACTAATTTTGAAAAGTTTATATTAGAATACAGAGCAGACAGCTTCAACTGCCACTTCCATTTACCACCTATGGCGCATGGATGCAAAGCATATTTCCTTCCCACATATTAAAACCATAAATTACAGTATTTGCTCTCTGCAATTTTAGGAACAGAAACTAAGAATTTTTTTAGCTGCAAATAAGAGCTTGTTAAAAAGAACTAATAGATATTTTTTTTCTAAAATCCCCTAGAATAAACAAATTTTTAGTTGTAAACTTTTTTCCTGTATTGGTTTCATATTTGTACACATTCAGTTTACAAAGGTTAATGACATATACAACAAGAGGCAGTACTCTGGGGGAAAACAAAGTTTCAAGAAACAGTTGATGAAATACAGGAATAGAGGATTAGTGAGTCAATATATATATTTTAACAAGACACTTGCCTTTTCGCGTAAAGTAGCCACAGTTTTATTGTTGTTGGATACATTGCAATAATCTTTTATGGGCCCATTAGTAATCTTCCTGTGTTCTGCTGGTAGGGGTTAGAGGAATGACTTGAAGGATAAGTCTCAAAACTAAAGCTTTCACCTCCATTTTCTCTTGATCCATACCGATCCACACCATCATTTATGCCAGCATAATATGAAACTGGGGTTGCCTCAATTACCTTATTACAACCAAGAGCAGTAACATTGGTTTCAATTTGTGCAGGTTTAGCATCCAGTCTTTGCTGCTTCTCGTTTGATCTATTTTCAGGACTTGAGTTGATGCCAACCCCAAGATCAAGGCTAACTGTATCATTTTCTTCCAACCTAGAACTTAACATACCATTTAATGCTGTACTATAATCAATATTTCCTGTTGTGTCATGGGCACTAGTCCTTGCAGCAGGTACATCATGGTTGTGTTTTCCTTCGTATGTTGTAATAACTGCTTTTGGATCATGCGATGCCCTCTCCACATGTTTTCTGACTGGGCATCCAGCATTTGTGCACTTGTAATAACTCCTAGACAACATGAGCAGGAAATTACCATTATTGATCTAAAATACTTGAATGAATGCATGCCCACCCAAAATGTGGTATATTTCTATCTTACAAGATATATACCGTCTTCAACTATAAGCCATAATTTCTGTAAACCGAAATATCATTAGTGAAGCACATACAGGGTGCTTTACAATATATCATACATATCAAAGTGGCTTCAAAAAGGACTAGGTAAGGAGAAACAAATTATCCTAGGTTCATTAACTTCTTTTTGGATTTAGAAATGGAAAGTCAGACCTATTACTTGATACGAGAACAAAGTTCCCACAGGTGTTGATATCACTGGAAAATCAAAAATATGGTAGAGATGTCCTATAGCAAGCTAGGGTCTTCATTGAACTATTAAAAGGAACATGGAACCAATCAAAATGGGATAGAACTGTTTGAAGGAATAATATTATTACCCAAGCAAGAAAGCTGACTAAAGCTGCAAACACCACCAAAAAAGCAGGCTCAAATGCTCTTATCTTGACTATTAAATCAAGATCAATAATTGAATAGAGGAAATGAACAGCTAAGATGGAATAAGATTCTGACATGGATGAGGAATCAGGAATTGAGGCAACCTTCTCATTCAAGAAAACAAAAGGGAAAATCTTATAAGACAGTAATAACCATGCTTCATAAGATAAATTATTTTGACTTTCAAGACATTTGCATCCATGGAATAGCGTAGTTAAAATGAAGATGTTGAGGTGGAAGAAAGGTAAGAAAACATAAAACTAGAAACAAAGTTACTCTCATTGACATCTAGTGCATATCAAAGACCACAAATCCACAATGGAAATAGCTATAAGCTTTTGTGTTGAAACAGTGAGGAAAAGCTAAAAGAATTTATGATTTAACAAAAGTTAGGCCCTAGATAGAGTAGATGGAGCACCAGAATTCATATAACCAACTAAAAATAGTTGGAATCAGGCTCATTTTAGCTGACTAGACTATCTTAGCATCTGAAGCAAACTATTAAAGCTCACAAAAACCAATCTTCTTTCCCACTGTACACCTGTTTCTCCAAAATCATATTCATGACAATTCCAGTGATGATTGTAGAGTTCAATTTTTTCATCTTTTTTTGTAATTATTTAATGCATGGAGACTAGTACATATTTGAAAAGAAAAAAGCAAAGATAAAAATGTAAAATGTTGAATATAATTTTGGCACTTGCCCAAAATGTTTGTGTGTGTGTGTGCGTGAGAGAGAGAGAGAGAGAGAGTTCAAGAATTTTCTCTAAGACATTTAAAATGGCTATTTGGTTAGCCTAAGAAAGTCAGTGGGCTTACTATGGAATTTTCTCGATTCCAATATCTTTTTGAAAAATCTTGATTCCAATAATTTTCTTATAAGTGGTGATTATGTTTTCCTCACAAAGCTATAGTGGAATGTTAAGTCCAAAATAGCCGAGTGGGACCAACTACCTCCAGCCAATGTTTTGAAAATTGTTTTCTCTTTTCTTTCCCACCAAACATGTTTAAGAAAAAAATCCTTTCTTTCATTTTCTTTGCTTCTTTTTCTTGGCAACCACACAGAACCATTATGACAGAATATTCAAATGCTATGAGGCATATACCAGAAGTATCAATTAATCAATTCCATGCATATGATAACAAACTCAGTCACCCAATTTCATATATATGACTTGCAAAAAAAAGAAAAAAAAATGGAAGTCCATACATATGGTAGCAAACTCAACTAGCTTCTCTTTAATTAAAATGAAAATATAACGAAGGTTAAGGAGGTGATTAGGAAAGCAGTGGTTGATGACAAGTCACAGTTGTTGTTAGGAACTGCCTAACTCAGGGTTCTGATGAGAAACCACCTCCTTGAATGAGACGAGAAGGAGAGAGTTAAGAGAGGGAGAGAGAGAGAGAGAGAGAGAGGTTTGTCCTGAGTAATCTTGCTGTCTTCTTTATTTGCTCTGTTTGCATTTATTGATGAGGTTTGTTACATTCTTGGAAGTCATATCCCAGTTCTTGTTACATTTGGTATTGTGGTTATGCCACTCTGTTATCAGTTGCATCTGAGAGCTGACGTGGATTTCTTCTTTTGTAAGTCTTTAGTTTCGGCTGGCTACTTCCATACACAGGTCTGGGTTCAGTATAACTTGTTCTAGCATTACCCCCCCCCCCCCATGTTAAGCTGGACCTTGGCCTCAAGGTCAAGATTCGGGAAATTGGTGGTGGAGCTGGATATAAGACTCCCATGTTGCATCTTCCTTGGGTAATTGAGACCATACTACCAGAGCTTCCGGTTCCACATGATGTCCTTTCTTCACCCAACGAAAATCAATGATGGACTGTGTTCCGTGACTAATGCCATGTGGCCCATGTCTTCAGTAAACTTGGGTAGAGTGGGCTGGCTTACCACATCTGACTTGAGGCATTTCTTCAGAACTGAAATGTGGAAGACAGGATGAATACTAGAGTGTTCAGGTAGCTCCAAGCGGTAGGCAAGCTTGCCAATCTTCTCAATGATCTTGAAAGGCCCAAAGTAACCTAGAGACAGCTTGTTCCAGCATTGCTGCCTTACTGATAGGGAGCAGTAGGGAAGCAGTTCAAGTATACGAAGTCGCCCACTTGATACTCCATTTCCCGCTGGTGCTTGTCATATGAGTGTTCATCCACTGCTATGCTTGGTTCAAGTTATGTTTGAGCTCTTGTAGGGTAGCATCCCGTTGTGTCAGGCTTCTTCTTGCAATGATGCAACTGGAGAGGAACCCTTTTCATAGGGTAGTAGATTAGGAGGGTTTCGACCATATAAGGTACGGAAGGGTGTCATCCCAGCAGCCACATGATAGGTGGTATTGTACCACCACTCAGCCCAGTAGAGCCATTGGGCCCAAAATTTGGGTTTGGAGCCGGAAAAACAACACAGGCATGTCTCCAAGCACCTGTTGACTATCTCTGTTTGCCCATCCGACTGTGGATGGTAGCTAGTGGACTGGACTTCCTTAGCTGAACTCCCTGCACCTGAAATAGTTCTCTCCAAAAGGTACTGAGGAAGATATGGTCTCTATCAAACAGAATTGATCTGGGAAATCCATGGAGAAGGGCTACTTCCCATATAAAGATACCAGTCACTGTTGCAGCTGTGAATGGATGTGCTAATGCCAGAAAGTGACTGTACTTGGTGAGGTGGTCTACCACACTAAGATCACTGATTTACCTGCTGAAAGCAGAAGCCCAGTAATGAAATCCATAGATATGTCTTCCCAAATTTGGGTGGGGACTGGAAGTGGCTGGAGCAGGTCTGCTGGAGATTGGGCCTTGTATTTACACTGTTGACAAGTCTTGCAGTTGGCAATGTAGTTCCGAATAGTTTCCATCATTCCCTTCCAATAGAACTGAGATGCAACGTGTTTGTATGTGTGGAGCACCCCTGAATGACCCCCTATGGGTGAAGCATGAAAGTAATCTAACAATGGGCCAATATGGGCCAAGATGGTTGGTAGCGCTAACCTGTGTTTATGGTAGAGTAAGGGCCCCTTGAGCAAGTAATTGTTTCTAGAACCAGATTGCCGTGAAAGACAGTCTTTTGTCTGCTATAGTTCTGGACTTGTAGCTGCCTCCTCTCGAATTTGGTCCCAAAGTTTTGTTGTGGGCTGAAGAGAAACCTGCAGCCACTGCAGTTCTAGGTGTCTCGACAGTGCATCAGCCACCTTGTTGGTTGCCCCAGGCCGATATTCAATTCAATAATCAAAACCCATGAATTTTGAGACCCAGTGTTGCTGATCTGGGAAGAGAGTCCGCTGTCCTAGTAAGAATCTAAGACTTTGGTGATCAGTTCTGATTATGAATTTGCACCCAAGTAGATAAGAGCGCCAATGTAAGACTGCCAAGACTAATACCAGCTCCATTGTGTAAACCGAGTTAGATCCTCGTTGTACTGAAAATGCCTTACTAAAGAAGGCAAGGGGTTTCCCTTCCTGCAGCAATACGGCTCTGATCCCTTGACCAGATGCATTGCATTCTACAACGAATGTTTTGTTGAAGTTAGGTAATGTCAATGCTGGTGGTGAGGACAAAGCTGCTTTGAGATTTTCAAAGGCCTATTGGGCTTCTGGAGTCCATGTGAAGGCATCTTTTAGTAAATTTGTCAATGGGCCAGCAATGAGGCCATAGCCTCTAATGAAGCAACGATAGTATCCTGTCAAGCCCAGGAAGGCTCAAAGTTCCTTCACATTTGTAGGCACAGGCCATTGTTGAATGCCCCCTTCTACTATGTGGCCCAGGTAGTGTACTTGAGATTGGCCAAAAGCACACTTAGATTCTTTAGCATATAACTGATTGTACAAGATAATCTTCTAAGTAACTCCTAACTCCTCCAAGTGTTGGGACCATGTGGGGCTGTAGACTAAGATATCATAAAAAAAAAACAGTATAAACCAGCGTAAGGATGGAATAGATGATTCATGAGAGCTTGGAAGGTTGTCGGGGCATTTGTGATCCCAAATGGCATGACCCGGAACTCACAATGTCCATCGTGAGTGTGAAATGCTGTTTTGGGTATGTCATCTATGTGCACTCTAATTTGATGATAACCCACGCGTAAATCCAGCTTATGTCTCCTGATACAAGATGGAGCTCTACTTCAACTTGGTGGACTCACCCGTCCATTGAAGTTGCTCATGTGTTCAGCATCTTAGTTCTGATACCAAATTGTTAGGAACTGCCTAACTCAGGGTTCTGATGAGGAACCACCTCCTTGAATCAGACAAGGAGAAAGAGAGAGACAGAGACAGAGAGAGAGAGAGAGATTCGAGGTTTGTCTGAGTAATCTTGCTATCTTCTTTATTTGCTCTATTTGTTATTGATGAGGTTCGTTACATTCTGTTACATTCTTAGAAGTCATATCCCAGTTCTTGTTACATTCGATTATGCCACTCTGTTATCAGTTGCATCTGAGAGCTGACGTGGATTTCTTCTTTTGTAAGTCTTTAGTTTTGGCTGGCTACTTCCAT